GGGGGGGGAATCAAGGAAACAAGGCAAGAATTGGGAACTGCATGTAAGCATCTATTTAGTGTGCCCCTGAATGTTTGCAGTTTGGTGCTCTCTGGAGCAACTCATGGGTGCTGGGATGAAACAGCCAAATCCTTTAGCCACTACAGAAAGCCTTTGTGTACTGTTGATTTTTTTTTTTTTTATTTTTTTTTTCTTGGCTGCAGTGCTGGCCGGTTCCCTGTGGCCAGATGAGAATAGCTGCATAAGGCAGCCGTTGCCTTGCTCATGGTACACATACAAAAATCTGTCCACAAAGAACACGTAAAAGAACATAAAAGGATTTTGAGTCCACAGGTTTGCCAAATGTGGTGGTGTTAACATTTGCAGTGCTTTGAGCTGTTGTGTTTGAGAAACAGATGGATAATTAGTAAATACTCTTTAAGAAAATGCCTGAACAAGGAGAGCCTCTTGGAGACACCAGTGAGTAGTAATTTCTCAGCCCACCAGCTGGGTACGTGACACAGTGCTTCTTGAAGAAATAGAGCTGTCAGAGCGTAGCGTGGGTATTCACATGGGGCCACTTTCCACTAAGTCATAAGACTGAAATGAGAGAAATAATGAGGTTACTTTGATTTGCCTTTCGAGTTGCAGAGATTGTAGAGAGTAAGAAACGTACACACGTGGGTTTTGGCTGGGCTATTCTAATGGGACTTTGGCAGAACAGGTTTCTGCACCAAGGGCTCTCGTTGGAGTGGCCGGGCACCGTGTCCTTTTCTTCTGCTGCAGTTGCATTTCGGAGGCAGCAGATGCCGCAGTCAAACAGTTAAAAGCATTCTGGGGAGGTGCAGTTGAGTGCAGAATCTCATCTCCAGGATTTTTTGCTGGGAAGGGACTTGCTGAGAGGAGCGAGTCCTCAAGGAAGCCTTAGCTTGGAGATTTAACCTAGTATAAATGTAGTTTGAGTAATTCCGTGTCAAAACTGTGTTAACAAATCTGCACTAATACAGTAAGTTCAGCACAGGTTTTCCAGTCAATAGAGACCAGATGGTGAAAGCAACAGTGACTGGGGTTAACATAGTGTTTCATCTATTCTAGCCTGACAGGTTTTTGTACTGTAGTTCCAGAACTCAGTTATTCTATACAGAAATTTTATGGAAAAGCTTTAAATTATCAAACACAGTCCAGGTCGTATAAATAAATAGAATAAATAACTTGTCATGAGGACCAGTGGTAAGTCTATATAATATTTCCATCTTTAACTTTGTGATTGCTGGTGGCAATGGGCACATTTGGTCTGGTGGTACATGCTAAGAGAGAACCCCAATAATATTTAGGAATCAAACCAACAGCTTTTAATAAAATTACTCTAAGAACAGTTGAATAAGAAAGAAGTTACTTTCTGTGGGAACATCAAGCAAACCTGAGGAGTTCAAGGGGTTTACAGTTCGGCTCTGAAATTCTCTTGGTTTGTTTGAAGTTTGGCTTAAAGTTAGAGGATTTGGTTTTCTTTTTGTTTTATTTTGTTGTCCTGAGATTTCTTGTTTTTCTACAGAAGCAATATATTGTAGTTAGTTATTACAGCCCTGGCTGCAATAGAGCTGAACAGCAAGAGGTGACCTTAATCAAGGGACAGTTAGCCATGTGCCACTAGTGTTTTAGGTCTGTCTGTTTTGTTGGTACTCACCATCATCTGTAAGTGAGATTGTGTCTGCATTCTGCTCAAGCAATCCTTCTGGCATTGTGTGTAGTAAATGGCTCTTTAGTTGTCTTGCAGGGCTAATTTGTTCTGAAAACCAATGTGACAAGTTTTCAGTTGCAACGAAAATATGTTTTGACACACTGGCTTTTTATTTAAGGAATCTGTAACTTTTTCATCCTACAGAGAATGAACTAAAGTATTTGACAGCTGCACTTCTCCAGTGCTGTAATTAATGATGCTGTCCTTTCTCCCTGACCCTAGGAAATGATGTATATCTGGAATGGCTATGCTGTAATTGGAAAATGTCCCAACCTAACAGAAGGCATGTTAGAGACTTTAATTGAAGCAGAAGAAGCATTGGCAAGAAGTTCAGGTAATCAGTGATATAGTTTAAGCAGGTATTTTCCAGTGCAATAGGTAAAGATATTATCTAGGAATAAAGACAGACACTCATTAGTAAAGTGAATCTGATCATAGAAGGAACATAGATAATGAAAACATAAACTTTCCTTTTTAATATAGCAATAGCTTACAATAGTAACAAGTAATTTTCAATCCACAGATGTGTATTAGGAATAGTTTATGACTTGTGTTAAAGGGCTGGTTATTTTGTTAGATCAAAATCAGCATATGCATTGACTTAATTACTTGGATCATGAAGCTCTGTTGTCTGCAGATACTGTATTTCAGTTTTGAAGGATGAATAGAAGGACACAAGTCTTCTGTTTTAAAAGTGTTGTCAATTTATGACATGACCTTGGGCTGAATGGTATTTTTGTGTCAACAGTATGCTATAGAAAGCTGGGACACCGGGGATGGGTTTCTTTTGCGCTATGAATGAGCATAAGATAGGGGACAGTATTGAATGGGAACAGGCTCTGCCACCACATCTTGTGTCGGTCTGTTAATTAGCCATCCATGAGAAAGTTCAATTGATGTTTATTTCTTGCCAATCTTTCCCTTCTCCTACGGGAGCACAACCGATCTGCACTGCTTTTCTCAGAAAGTTTTCCCTTACCAAATATTTAATCTTGTTATTATGTACTAGCTTTCCACAAAAGGATCCGAGCCCCTGTTGGCAAAGGAATATGGGCTAAATCACTGCATTGCAGTCTTTTCTAGGACCTTGGTCTTCCTGTGCACATTGTGTTATGCAAGATTTGAAAGAGTTGCCTGAAAGACTGCCTAAAGCTATCTGCTTTTTAGTTGATTGTCAAAGAGAATAGAAGAATATTTTCAGTGGAGGTGACGTCTTGGAAGAAGGCTTTTGACCCTTTCACTTCCTTTGTCACCGATCTTGCTACATTCTTTTGAATAAGTGAATTATTCCTCTGTTCCCTTTTTTTCTTAGTTGGTAAATTGTGGATAAGACTGGCTTTTTGCAGGGATTTGTAGAAGCTGTGTTTATAATTTATGTAGAATTTGTGTTTATAAAACACCATGAGGACATGTAATCAAAAAGTGGGATATATTTTAAACACACCAACAATTTGAAGTATTACCCATTCCAAATAGTGACTTGCTGTTTCCAGGCGTCATGTTCTCCTTGAGCTTTCCTGACAGTGTTTAAGGCTAAACTGTTGTATTTTCAAGTATTTTCTCTGTGTTACTGTTAGATTAATAATGCAAGAATCTAACACTATGACATTATGAATCTGAGGATGTGGTCCTAGCAGCGTTACACCATATAAGATGTAAAAGGAAGACTGTTAGTGGAAGTAATGTCTAGAAATGTAAATCTGATATGTGTAATTGTGGATGCCCCATCCCCAGAGGTGTTCATACCCAGGCTGGATGAGGCTTTGAACAACCTGGTCTAGTGGAAGGTGTCCCTGCCCATGGCAGGGGGGTGGAACTAGATGATCTTTAAGGTTCCTTCCAACCGAAACCATTCTATGATTCTATAGTTCTATAATTGTGTCTGTGTAGGTCCCTAAATGTTTGCTTCTACAATCCAGGGCAGTTTTGAGTTGATTTGCTGCATAGTCTTCAGGCATCTTCCCTGGGATTTTTTTTGGTGAAAAACGTGTGTAGGGGCCTCTGTGGGACTTAGCAATAGAAGTGACTCCAGTTGAAGTATAAACTCAAAAGAGGTGAATAGAAGGTGTGGTAAGATGAGGGGACATGAGGTGCAGGTGGCAACATTTGGCATATTTTTGTTTAGCCAGACAGAGGTGGAGAACTGATAAAGCACTTGCACATCTACTAATAGATCATGTGACTAGAAGTCAAGGATGAAGAGGTAGACATACTAGAGGGCAATAGCAGCAAAAGGTTAAGAGATCATAAATTGGACCTCAGTATTTCCAAAGTGGACACTTTAAATTAGTTTTGAGGTGTCAGAACAATAAGATTGTGGAATAGCCTTTCAGTGGGAGTAGGAGGGAAGGAACAGCCCAAAAATTTTTAGACAAAGTTCGATCAATTTGTGAAAAAGTTGATGTGTGGTTGTCTCTGCATTAAATGAGCTAAGTTGACCAGTTAATTCCTTCTGTCCTGTGTTCCAGTAAATGGGTTGTGCTCACACCTCCCTGTGTAAAAGTCTCTGCTGCTCTAGAGTTTTCTAAAATGTGCTATTGACTTCATCTTGCAGCTACAGAATTACTAGCAGATGACCAGTGCGTGGTAAAGCTGTTAAAGGGTTTATGCCTCAAGCATTTGGGCAAGATCTCAGAAGCAGAAGACCATTTTAATTACATCTATTTAAAGTAAGTTTTCATACCTGGCATACAGGAAGACTCCTGAATTTCTCAGTAACTATTCATTTCAAGTAAGAGGAGATGCGACTGTGATATAAATAGAAGGGAGAGGACTGCAGTATCTTTAGTATTTATTTCAGTTGCTTTGATATCAAGGAATTGCAATTTTTATTGCCAGCATTGTTAACCATTTACAGAAGAACTGCAAATCTGCGCTTTTTACTGAGATATTGTCCCCTTTTTGGGGGACTGTACATGCATAAAATTTTGGAGATACCACTTCCCTTTTTTCCTCCCCTTCCTTTTACCAGTCCTGAAGAAGCTGTACCCAGAAAGCCAAACGCAGTCTGCAGAGACAGATGGCAGCACGATTATTCTTGTAACTTCTAGACTTCATGCAGTGAATGGCATCTCTTTTTGTCAGTTCACATGGATAGAGCTCCTATTGTTGTCGTCTTTTCTAATGTTTTCCTGATAATAAAAGCAATATGTTGTAATCCTGAGAAATAACATACTGTTCAGGATAGTTAGGCAAAATACACATTTAATAACCTGGAAGGTAGTTTTGGATAGAGAACATGACAAGCATTGTAATAAGGATTGATTGCTCCTTCTGATCTTAGCTAATCTCCTATTTATTCGTGTTTGGAACTGTTAAATGAAGGAAACGTATAACATTGCAAGATCTTGAAGCTATTTCTTTTCCAATGCAGTGAAAAGAAGATAAAATATGACCATTATCTAATTCCAAATGCCTTGCTGGAGCTGGCGATACTGTATCTAGACCAGGACAGAAGAGAAGCTGCAATAAAACTACTGGAAAGAGCAAAGTAAGCAAGTGAAAAGCCCTCTGCTGGTGTCTGATGGGTCAATATGGTATTTTACAGGTTATTGGAAAGCAGAAGCATTTCATTAATATAATGGAAACTTATTGTTTCATTTTTCCAATGGAAGCATGCATGCACTAGTTTTGGTTTCGACCTTTCTAGTAGTAGACATCATCTGATGGTTCAGTCTGTGACTTTCCCCTCCGTTCTGATGAGAGCAAAAAAAATTTTAAAGATGTTAATGTGAGTGTCAAAGGCTTCCACTAGAAATAATCCATGTGTAACAAAATGTAATAATCTTTGTAGTCTATTTACTTATAAAAGATGTATTATATCAAAGCTCTATGTTATGGCTAAAATACCATTACTCAAGGTGCTAATGAGCAGTTTTGTTTTCTCCATGAAATACATTTAAGGTATGTTGTATTTAGTATCTCTGTATTGTTTCATCTTCATCTGAAAGGCAGCTGAAACACCTGTTTTTACTATTTTGTGTGATTTATCTTTGTAGCAGAGTAGGTTTATCAGGAATAGTTGGACTTGATCGTGTATGTTCTTTATTACAAAATTCACAAAATATGGTTTTTGCCTGTCAGCCTTTACTCTGCTGAGCCAAAGTTTCTTGGGGAGGCGGGGAGGAGAGGGAATCCAAACCAAACAACCTTTGCCCTCTTCGAGCATCCTGCAGCAGGGTAGTTCACCTCTTGCCTGGGTCCTGAATGAGTCCAGATGTTTGCATCTTTCCAAGCACAGAGAGTCACGCCAGTCACTGCCGCACGTGTCAGCAGCTACAAAACTGATGTCTGGCCCCAAATTTCAAAGAGTTTTTGTGTTGAGCTTTTGTCCAAGTCAGTCCACTATGCAAGACAAAGTGTTGAATCAGGCTACAGAAGATTATGCCAAAAGCCTGTCAGCACAAAAATTAAAATGTTACAATTCTTAATGTGCTGTGCTTGTGAGCTTGGATGTAGACTCATGGAAGATACTAAGAAGAGCAAAAATTGCATTAGCAAAATGCAATGGAAAGTGTTTCAGTTGGTTACGCATTCCTCAAAGCACAGCTCTCCTGTCCTCATTTCCTTTGCTCAAGTCTCTCTTAAGAAGAGATGTAGAAATTAATGATTCAGAGCTTCTTATTCTGTCTGGTACTTCTGTCGCTTGCTGCTCAGCCATGGCACCTTTCCCCTGACGGCTCTGTGTGGCTTGGGTCACAGTCCCCCTCAAGGGAAGGTGTTTGGTTTAAAGAACACGAGCAGACAGTGGCTCTTAAAATTTGTTGTAACCCAGTATATGGAAAGCTAATACTCAGACTTGCTATGATCAAAGAAGTCGTGGAAACTGTCATGATATGCAAAAAAAAAAACCCCACCACACCACAAAACCCTCCTTTGTTTCAGTCAGTCGTAAAAAAAAAAAAAAAAAAAAAAAAAGCACAGTCCTTACATCTGCACCTGTAGCTGTTACTGCATTCAAATGCTCACGGCTTGTGAGCTTTCAGCTAAAAAATTCAGAATGTCTTTGCAGACACTAGGGGGAGAACGCGTTGTCCATGGTGCGTTTCAGGGCTGCAGAATTAGGTTTGCCATTGGCAGGAGTGCAGACGAGCACTTGGCTTGTGCATGACGCTTGATTTGCTTGACCTAAATCCACATGCTGCTGCTGGCTTGAATGTTTCAGCTCTGGGAGAAAGAGTGGAATGAGATGATAAACAGGTTTGGCTTGGTCACGCGTGGAAATATTTCTATTTCTATTTGTATTACTGTAAGCTACAAGCAACAATATCAGCCTACTGATGAGAAATACAATATCTGCATGACAAAAATCTACTTAATTTAAAGAAAAATAACCCCAGAGAGCTTCAGATGAGCATACAGCAGGACCCAGTCACCTCCTTTTCTCAGTCAGCCTCTTGGGTGCTGCATACATAAAATGATAAGCTGGTGTAGGATGGCTGTGGAGTTCCTCGTTTTCACAGAGAGACTGCTGTAAGGACAGATACCGTGCTTCCATGCTTGATTTGAATTATGGATTTTGAACTCAAATGCCTTTAAGGTATATAGACTGGTTAGTACTTAATATTATGTTTCTATAAAGATGGCAAATATCTTCTAAAGGAAAATCAGCGTGGTCTAATCCTCTTTGGTATCTGGATTCTGGACCCACCCTGCAAGAGCTGCCATGTTAATTCCTATTAAGTAGAATCTGCACTTCCTGTGCAGTCCTGGGGGCAAATTTTCTTTTTTTATGTAAGCTTTTCCATGAAAATATGGATTCTTTGAATGTTTCTGTAACTTTTTGGAGCATGACATAGCTACTGGAGACTATAGGCAGGTGACACTAATGAGTCAGCCACTAGATGTTTGTGGGGAAAGTCCTGCCAGTCTTTCCCTGAGCTGGTGAATTGTTCCTCGAAAGCTGGTAGGCACTCTCGTGTGTGCCCACTTTCTCTTTCCAGGCTTCCAGGGTAGCAGATTTGATTGGCCTTATTTCCTACACACAGTACATATCTTTGACAGCCATAGGATGGAGAAGGGGTGTTTTCCTCTTCTGGGTTAGGACAGCTTCTCTCTTTCTTTCTTTTTCCTTTTTTCTTCCCTTCCTTCTTTTCTCTGCTTCCTTGAAGTGTGTCTGCTGAATTAAGATCAGTCCATCTTATTAAAATGAGGGGGGGGAAAAAAAGTTTGAATTTGTCAGTCATATTTTGACGGGGGGGGAATCTGATTTATGAATGTAAACTAAGTGAATGCTATGGATATTGAATATGGACTCAATATTTTGATTGAGTGGAACAGATTCCATTTCTTATTAAGCTATATTACTCTGGTAATTGCCAGACAGTGGAACTACAAATAAAGAACAAAGAGCTGCATTGTTTGGCTAGGAGCACATGCCTTGTATTTGAGAGCAGGCAACAAAGGAGCTTGTGAAGAAAGGCTTTTTTGCTGTCTGTAGTTGTTTGGCTTAGAACAATAATATAAAGATAACTTGAAAATGTTTAAGAAATATATATTCATCAGAGTGGATCTGCTTTTGTTTTAGACAAAACTACAAGAATTACTCCATGGAAACAAGAACACATTTCAGAATTCAAGCTGCCCTGCACCAAGCCAAATCCGCCCCAGAAAATGGAATGCACTCTGGAGCCTCGGCAGTGTCGTAACTTTTTCTTCTTTGATGTCCTGTTTGTTGCAAACTTTGGCGCAGAAAATTACTGACACTTTAGAATTATTTTTCCTTCTCTTTCAAGTCAGTGAGAAACCAAATCATTTAAAATTTTAAAGGTGATGCATAAAACGTTAATCTAGTGTAATAACATGGCAAAAAAACCTCTCAAACGAACCATAACCCTGAAAAATATTGTTTTTCCAACAGTGGCTTTTTGAATTACACAGATGTAACTATTCATTCTTCAATCATGTGTGCCTTTTTTTCTTGCATTTGCAACATTTACTGAGCAACCTACAACATAAAGGGCAACAACCAAAAGAAACCAAGCAACAAAACTTTAAAGAGTCATGGATTTAATCTCAGTTAGCTGTAAGTGTTTGTTTGAACTCATACTGCTAGCAGTTGAGAAGGAAGCATCGCTTCTTCCAAGTACCTCCTTAGTTGAAATGGAGTAGGAAAATCTCAGTGCACAAGAAACACAGCAGGGAGGAGCTCTGGATCCTGGGCATTTCCAGTTGTGTGTGGAAAGCTTTTCTCTACCATCTTTTACTACTCATATTTTTGCTGCTATAAGAAACTTGATGGTGAAAAAAACCATCTCCCTTTTACAAGTATCTTGACTTTTTCGTTAATTTGGTCTTCATGGCAAGTCTGCTGCCTGTCGCAGCTGAATGACTGACCAAGGATTTGGCGGGGGGGACAGATGGTGACAGTATAAAACTGCATCACTTCTTCTTTGACAAGTTTAAAAATGGGAGGACCTTAGGAAACATTTTTTTTTCATCAGAACAAACATGATTTGAAGTTTATATCTTATTTGAAGCACAAGCCCTTGAAGGTAACTTAAGAAACAGCAATATTGTTCTGGCTGCTCAGAAGTACAGAGTTACTGTGATAGTTCCTTCTTGAAACAATTGTTCTTTGGTTTGCCTAACTTGAGGTGTCCATGTTTAAAGAGATCGTGTGGCTGTGTTTCCTGTGCTATGAAGCTGGGGTTGGGGCAGGCTGTCTTGGCACAGTGCTCTGCTTTTCACAAAGGAGAGCACTTTATCTTTTTGCTCTTTATTGATCTTTTGGGGAAATTTCTGTGTAAGGGGCTTTGAGAACAGAGCAAAGAGCTAGCTCTGCTCTCCAGTGCTGTCTGCCATAGAATTGCTGCTTTTCTGCAAAACTGGTGAAGTCAGATGTAGCACAGATTTGACTTGTGGTTACCGTTCTCCAGGCTAGCTCCGTGTTTGTATGCCTGTGGTTTTTTGGGGCACACTTCTACCTCCCTTTTGAAACAGCTTCTTCCCCGTGACTCATTCTGATATGTGGAGATGGCACGTCTTCTGACAGCCCTTTTTCTCCAATGGAGATGTTTGTCAGGAAGATTCCTATCTATGTACCTCACAGTGAATATTCTTTCTAAAGTGATTGTTCCCAGTAGAAGAGAAAATTGAGTTTATAGTTCTGCTTTTACCTCCTCCATTGTTTTATAATTGCAAATTAATATGCAAGGAGACAGAACCACCTGTTCCTCAACATGGAGAACTTGCATTGTCTTAAAAATAGACACCCTTTATAAAAGTCTTCCCAAGTTAAAATTATAGATGAAGAATGCATTTTTTTTTAAAGTTACTTTCTTGGATAAATTCAATTCAGATAAATTTCTCAATTCAGATAAAATTCAGTATAAACAGTTATGCTATTTACATACTGCACATCAAAACCTGAGTGTAAAAATTCAGTCATTCTTTGTATAGAATAAAAAAGTTTCTTGTTCTATTTCATGCATATAACGCCTCTTCTTCCAGTTGTGTCCTTTTCAAATATTTTGGCAGTCTTAGCATCTTTTAAGCAAGCAATGCCATGACAATTAGCATAAATTGTACTTTGCAGAAACTGAACAATCCTTCTGACTGTAGATTGATTTCTCAAGGCCACAGAAACGCCCTTTGAAATTTCACCCACAACGAAGTTTCGCATGGTCTTAGATACATTGCACAAAGAACACACTGTGCAATATGCAGCCAGCTTCCCTGATTCTCTGCAGTGATGCAAATCCTAAGATTTTCATAGTCATCTTTGGTCGAACATGAACACCAGTCAGATCATGGACCTGATCTCCAGCTTCAGCTGAGGACTTTGTAGTTATCCACGATCAAGTGGTCCGTGCTTGCACGCTGACTTTTTAGCTCCCAAACAACAGGAAATACTCACTTTCGTGATGCAACAGCAAAGATTTACAAACGGTAATACTCTGAACTCACTAAAGGAGGATAACACCTTGCTTGCTACAGGATGATGAATGGGAGGTCTGGTACATTGTCACTGTGTATGTTGTTCAGTGTGTTACATTTTGAATTGCCCACCATTACTCTGTGTTCATCAATGTACTTCATTTTGATCCTCTTCTGTGGCTAGAGATCAAAAACTCCGTGCTGCCAGTCTGGGCTGGAAGGTCTACACTGGAATTGTTTTTCCATTGCTTCTCCTGAAGCTGCTGCATTCTGCAGTTCTCGAGAATGGTAAATTGCTTCATCGCTCTGGAGTCCCAAGTACGATGAATTAGGGAAAGCACAAGTGGTGCAAGTTCTCAGACAGCTTCAGCATTCGGTATATTCCCCTACCAGAAAATAGCAGATGCTCTAATGGAATTGCAAATCAGGGGTTTTCAGCATGGCCTAAGATTCAGGAAACTAAGTGCTACTTCAGATGGATATAGTCAACTCCTCAGTTGCAGAAGGAGCCCTTCTGCTTCCAAACATTGCGTTGTCTGAGTAATGCTAGAGAAACCCACGCTGTGTCCTAGGCTTAGGCAACAGCTGCCGCTATCAACTCTTCTTGGTCCTCAGCAAAGCCGGAGAAGTTAACCAAAGGCAAACTAGTAACTCGTGTAGCAGAAAATAGTTTTCTGCACTTGGTAGGACCTTTATCATAAAACTTACAAACTGTAATTCTCTATCTATTTTTTTAGTAGCACTGATAAGTGGTTTCCTGCCAGTAGCTGAGGAGGGGTAGAAATCCATACTGGGTTTCGTCCGTATGTCTGCAGCCATTGTCCTGTGCCCTGTGTGACATCACCCTGCCATCTGACGGAAGGGCCAGGAAGGGAGAAGCAGTAAAATGAGCGTCACTGTTGTCATTAGATCTGATCCATGTGGAATCCATGTAGGTGCGGTCTCTCGTTAAACTGAAGGGAGGATATGGGCTGAAAAGCCAGCAGCTTCTACTGAGGTCTGACGAGGTGGAACTACACTAAACCCCAGCTCCTGTACACAACACTGGTGAGGTGACCTGCTGGATGAACAGGCTGAAGCTGAACCTGCTCACAGGTTTCCTGGATGATCAGAAGAGATTTTGATGAAATCATGACCATGATAGAACTACTATTGTCTGGAAACACCCATTTGTGATTGCTCAACTAACCCAGCAGCATAGGAACATGCTTTGATTTGTTTCTGCTGTGCGGTTCTATTGCGATGTGCAGGCATTCTGTCATGGGCGGTTAGCTTACAGACCGTCCCATTCAGGCTGTGTCTCACCCCAGGCTGTTTACACTGCAGCAACACAGCGTTCGAAACTTTTCTTAGGGAACTTTGCCTCTTATAAAAGATGGCAGCATTAGGACAGGATCATATGAAGCATTTCCTCCCATTTCACACTGTTCTGGCATTAAATTCTATATTAAGTTGAGTGCCTTCATATTTGTAGTTGGCCTGGGTCCAAGCCTACTAAAAGATCCTGGGATGACAGCTCTGACAGCTTCACGGCTCTGGCCCGTCGGAAGCATCCAGTAAAGCTCCTCTGTGCAAAACACAGCTTTCCTAGAGGTCAGCCCCAGAATGCAAAAGACACTCCCAGGAGTTTACATACAGCACCCTCCGCCTCCAGTTCCACCTGCGAGATGCGTGCCTTGGCCTTCCTAAGCACAAAAACACAGCAGCAAAGCCAAGGTATATGAAATGGCCAAAACAATGCCTTCCACGCAGCTCCCCCTCTGGCAGGAAGAGGAGAAGATAAAGAGGTGAGTCATGCTGTTTACTGCTGTACAGGAAAATGGGTAATGGTTGGAAACGTCACTGATGAGCGAGATCAGGAAACCTCAACAGACTAGAAATGAACTTGCTGCTTTTCTCATTACATTCTGCAAATACCTTTTGGTGATCGATTATAAGCAAAGCCTGTATTGGCAAGTATTTTAATGGAATGATTTGTCATTGTAAAATATTTTTAAAGATGCTATCTTGGTTTGCTTCAGCTGTTTAAAAAAAATAAATACTTTTTTTTAAAAAAACATGCCCAGTCAATCCCTGTCTTCAAGATTTATGAACAGCCACAGAGCTAATAAATATCTGCATTGCACTGTGGTAAAATTCTGCATGGTATTTGCTCTAAATTCAACAATGTTTTTGTAGGACTGGGCTATGTTCCATTACTTTCTGGATTTTTTAAATCTCTGTACGCACTTACTTTCATTGCTGGCTAAACACGGGCAAAATGTTTATTTAGAGTTAGGCATTGCATTGAATTCTTGCTTTATCTCTCCTTGACTATTTTACAGAAAGAATAGAAAACAGAGCAGTCACAATCCCCCCTGCACGCTCTCTTCAAAGGCTGCTTCAATTCAAAAAAGGAAAAAAAAAAAAGTTTATCTCAGTGAGTCAAGTACTGTAACAACAGTTTCAGGTCTGTGGCTGCAAAACAACGTAGCAATGTGGTGAGAAAGAGTAACTGAGTAGAAGCTGTAATATTCTGGACAGTTTTCATCTCTCACTGTTCCTTTTATCCTGCAGCGCAGAGGGTGTGGAGGTAAGGAACCCTCCTCAGCGCTGGAGCTGAGAAGGATGTTTGGCTGCAGGGCTGGAGCCCCAGGGGCCGTGCTCGGTGTCGTAGGTGCAGCTGGAGGAAGAGCTGGTGGTTGGTTTGTGAATGTGGCGCTTCTCCTGGTGTTTTGGTAAAGGTGGTGGTGTGAGATCCCTGAAGACTGCCTCTGCTCCTGCTAGCTAA